TTTATGGTGCTTTTGAATTTGGAACAACCCCTCCTACCCCGAGAAAAGTGCACCTTAGTGCAGGGTGACAAAGTGGATCGGAAGCCCACAACGGACCATATTATATTTTTTCCCTTTTCTTGGCTTGCAGCGACCTGTGTATACTCTGCCTGACCCCTGAGGCAGGCACTAGCCTTCATGCTCGTTGCCCCCTCTCCCCACCAAGACTTGCCTGCGTACCCACTCCCTGCGGAACATCTTACTACTTCCGCATAATTTGCACATCTTTTGGGTCGGCCCCTGTACGTCCACCAGCAGCGTGCACATGCATGTTTGTCTGTGTTTGTGTGTGTGGGGGCGGGAGACGAGATAAACTCTGGTTGGTGATACCGTAGTTCTCTCCCTCGGGTCCGCTCTAACCTGCATCCCTGCTGTAATACGGTATGCTGCCTCATCACGCCCATGCCAATATGACCATCTGTGAGCACACAGCAGCAGTCCGTGCACGACACGATCAACCCATCGCACGCAGACTGTCTGCACTATCCTATACCTTCCTCGCTGTGCGAACTAGGCATATTGCGGAGAATTCAGACGAGAAGGTGGACTCGAACCAAGACAAGCTAAGTATGATAGTCACGGCGTAGAGTATGCTTTTGTGTTTTATCCACCGCGGAATAGACCGTGTGCCGACGGCCAGAAAGGCCCGCGCATCTACATTTTCCCGCTTGACCCCATCAGTGCCGACCCAACTCCACCACCACACGCACGCCTCGCGGCGGATGCGCAGCAGCAAGAAGGTTTCGGCCATCCCTTGAGGGTGAGTCTAGTCCTGCTCGCCAGAAAGACCCCCCCCTTCACTACAACTCATGTCTAAGCAAAAGCTTGGCGAGGACCGAGGGGAAGAAGGGAGAGAAATCGGCATTATTTACGACCGAAAGTGGTACAGTCAATGATAGAACATGCGGGCGGTATGTGGGCATGGACAAGTGATGCACGTATCAAAGGGAGTTGTCGGGTTGGTCAACATTATTTTAGTGATCGGCGCCGTAGGCAGTGATGCCCATCTCAATTTTGTGCGCGGAGGCAGACACCATCAGAAAGGTGGACGACCACTACACGGCCCTAGGTTTGCTAGAGGGGGCTGTATTGCCTCAGTAACCTGGCTTCGCCATCAAAGGAGGAGGGAGCAGGTGGCGACGAGTGGAATTGGGCTGGTTGACCATTCGGCGCGAGAATTTTTATTTTTTTCAGACCAAGAACCTTGAGTGCAACGAGGGAGAAAGCGAGGAACGGACTGGAAAGGACAGCAACGAGAGCGTGTACGGACGGAGCAGGTCGAGTGGCGTTTTGCTCGGGCTGACTTCAGCGGCGCCGGATGGAGCAGTGGCACCGGAGCATGCGGGCGACATCGACCCGTGGCGCACGGACAAACATTTATATCTGATCTGTGTTGTCAATTTTTCTCGTTTTTTTCCTGATTTTCGGTGTTGGTTCTATGTGATGACGTCGTCACCGGTTTTGTAGTGAGACCCGTCAGAGATGGCGTGGCTAACCCGGGTGCATTGGTTTTGTGCCTGATCGTGGAAGACCCCTTCAATGTGGAACGATTCTTAGCTATTGTCGATATTTTCACTGCGTGCCTAACACAGACGATCGGGAGAGATTCGGGCAATTGCTGCTGCTATGATGGCTTTGGTTGGTTGTTCTTTTTCAATGTACGGCCGCGAGACGCATTCTGACAGCACTTCAGACAGCAGCTTTGTGCCCCGCCAGCTTCTTGTTCCATGCCTACCATGGTGTTTTTGTACAGACAGCACTTCAGACAGCAAGTATGCTGTAGTCGGCAATCATTCGTTTTGGTACAGAGTGGGAC